GTTTCAGGTGATGTATTCAAGCTCTAAGGAATTAACTTCCTTTTTAAACCTTGTTAAGCTTTGTTTTGAGAGTAATACAAAAGAAGGTTGGAAAGTGCTTCCGCGTCTACTGATTAATTCTCCAAAGCTAGAAATTTTGGTCCTCAAGGTGTGTATCATCTCTCACATTTTAAGGAGAGAATTAATTCATAGTTCTTGCGCGCGTAATTGTGTTTGTGATGCTTGTTCCAGGGTTTGCACTGTATAAGAAATCAGGGAGTGACCATTAATAAAAATGAAATGAAGGTGTTAAGGATATATGAGTTTAGAGGAAGTGTTAGAGAATTGTCACAAGTGAAGTACTTTTTGTGGGAAATGAAGATTCTTCAAGTGATGAAAGTAGAAATTGATGCTGATGATAACAAGAAACTTCAAATCATGAGTCACCTTCTTGCTCTTCCTAAACGTTCATCTAAATGCCAAATCGAGTTCTTGTGAGATTCACATCACCTCCTAATTTTAAGCTAGTAACCAAACTACTTAAGCAAGTAAAAAGTCACTTTTGGTTTTGGTTTGTACTCAGTCTTTATAGTTTAATTAACTTTAACATAAGAAAAAAAATATTTTCTAATTATGCTATCTAAATTATTCAACATTCAATTATTGTATCATTATGCAAATGCACATCAAGTTGCTATTGAACATTGTTTATCCACTTTGAAAATAGTTGGATTCAAATTCAATCACTCCAAGGCCCAAAAGCCAAGAGACTTCAACACAAAGTGATTATTTGAACGGTCAGTTTTTTCTAAGTTAGTTAGTTGGAAAAGACATCAACTCTCTCTCTACTTTAGCGAGTGATAATAACCATTACTTCCTCTAAATAGTGTTGCGTCTTCTAAGTTTGAGGTCGAGGCAGAGTTTGGGAATTGAGTAAAGGAAGTAGCGAGAGTCTGAGGATCACACAAAGGCCTGACAAACTGCGGAGAGTAACTTTCCAGTGGAGAAAACATTGGAGAGTTTGGGATAAGTCCTGTTGGGTGATTAAGAAAGCTTGGCATTTGTGATGTTGGATCATTAATCCCCAAAAAACCTGTTCCTTGAACATTCATTGGCAGAAATTGTGGTACTGATGTTGTTGCTACGCCCATATGCATTCCTAGACTCATGAGAGAGTAATGATCCATTGGGAACATCATAGGTGGTCGGACTAATCCGTTTCCCATACTCATCATCTGTAACATACATATGCACATAAACTTTTTAAT